CTTTCTCTGGTCCGAGTCCAGGATGGAGAGAGGAAAGCTTCTTGTTCAGTTTTAGGAAAATCATCCCAAAATACCACTCAGAAGAGACCCAGTGTGGGTGAAACACTGGGGCCGAGGTCTAGTGAAGAAATGCTGGTTTTTGTAACTTGTAGTCCATCAAAATACAGTAACCAGGCACATGTCCCCGTCCCTCCAGCCGTTATTTCTGTGTCTAGAAAGAAACAGGTTGGTTGTCCTGCCGGCTTTTATGTTTTCTTTAAAACATTGGCCTCTGATTTGAAGATGAGATTCCTCAGAGAGCATGAACCTCCTGGGGTCCGGGGTGGGGGGGTGGGAGAACGGGTCCTGGGCCTGAGCCTGCCCACGAGGGCTCCTGGGCCTTCCTAGCTCCAGCCTCTCCCTGTGTGGTTTTATTTTTTAAGGTGTAGAAATTAAATTGACCACTTGGTGGCACCAAACCACCGTAGAGGAAAATTTAGATTCTGCAACTTTAATTTTTTTCCAGTGCTGGCAGGGAGCAGGGCAGACCATTGGTGGTGCCTTGTGTAGCATGAGGAACCCACTGCACACAGGCTCTAGGTCCCATGCTCTAGACCCTGAGGGAGCAAGAGTTACCTCACTGGCCAGCCCCAGGGGCATGCTCACCCCCACCCCACCCACCCCATCTCCTAACAGGAGCAAGCCGTCCGTCCTGTGGTTGCAGGCACAGACCTGGGGGAGACCCCTCCTGCCACAGACAGAAGCAGAGCCAGAGGGATGGGCTGGGGGGAAATGACCTGTGCGCTTATCACGTCCTCCTCTTAGAAGAAGCCTGAGGAAAGTTGGGGTCAGGCCCTTGGTATCTTTCTATCTCCAGCACGTAGCAGGAAGCTGACTTCAATTGCTTGCAAGAGTTTGCCAGGATCCAGGAAAGGATCCCAACTTTCCTTTAGGGGATGGAGTATGACAAGTGACATTTTTCAAGAGTGGTACCGAGGAGGAGACCAGATCCAGATCTTTAGCTTCTGGTTCCTTCCTTTCCTGCTTGCCAGTTAGCTGTTATTGCTCCTAGAGTTTTCTAGTGGGTACAGCTAGGACATTTGTTTGGCTTAAAGAATAATCATTAATTCACTGTTATTTTCATTCAAGTCTTATCTCTTTGATTCTTTGTATTCTCTCCTTTTTTTTTCTATTGGAAATCTTAGCAGAGTTACTCATTTTCTTCATCCTGTAATAAAGTCACTTTGTGCTCCATCCACAGGTGGCCTTTCATGAACATTGCTCTACTCTGTTTCGTTTTGTTTTTAGCCCACATTACTACTGATAGAACTACTAGGTGCAATTTGAAATGTTTGTCTTTGTTGTTCTTAGAATTCATCCTGCCCTGGATGTGGAAGCAAAAGTCATTTGGAGGACTGAGGTTGGGGCTCAGTGGTAGAGCGCTTGCCTCACACATGGGAGGCACTGGGTTCGATCCTCAGCACCACATAAAAATCAACCAATAAATAAAGGTTCAAAAAATAAATCTCTTTAAAAAAAAATCATTCAGACACAGTGTTAAAGGCACCTGAAATCCTGCCTTTCTTTTTGTAGATCTGTCAACAACCTGCTCATTCGTTTCTGTTTTCTAATTTTAGAGATTGCTCTATTTCCCTTCCCTGTCTTTTGTTTATAGGAAACATTTACAGTTTAAAAGACAAAAATTGTAAAGGCAGGTACCTTTGTACCCTGTTTCTCTCTCTAGTTTTCCTTCCCCGAAAAGGAAACCATTCTTCCTCACTTGTGACTTGTCCTTCTGTTTTTATTTACTTTAAAAAAAAATTTTTGTTGTTGTTGATAGACCTTTATTTTATTTGTTTTTACGTGGTGCTGAGAATCGAACCAGGTGCCTCACATACGCCAGGTAAATGCGCTACCGCTGAGCCAGAGCCCCACCCCCTGTTTTATTTTTTTGAAAGCAGAGCACGCACCTGTGTTCATGTATGTTCCTGTGCATGTCCCCGCCCCCTTCTCCCAGAGCTGGTGTGCCCCGAGTGTGGCTGTGTGCCGCTTACTGTACTTCTACAGGTTCCTCTGGCGAGCTGGTGCAGGGAGAGGATCTTTCTTTCAGTCAGAGACAAGAGTCCTCCTCCTAGGATGCTCCTGGAAGATTCTGTTCAACACCCAGAGAAGCATGTTGGCTGCTTCCCCATCTCACAGACATTGCCGTGGTGAATGGCCTTGTTCCCATGGCCTCCTGTGTTTGGCTAGGGTGTCTCTTTGGAGACTTCTTCATTCCACTGGACTCCTAGTGACACCCGAGTGCAGGTGTTTGGGCAGCGCTGTGGTTTCCAGAAGGTGTGTCCATGGGCTGTGCTGCCAGACGAAGATCCAGGTGTGTGTGAGAGAGAGACAGACCTCCGTGTTAGGAGCTTCCTTTGACAGGGAGGGAGAGTTTTTCCCGCTGTGCTGATTCCTTCCAAGAAACGTGAGGACCCCCCCCCCTTTCTGGGAGCCAGGGTGCCTACCTGCAAGCTTGCCCCTGCAGGCCAGAGAGTAGAATTAAAGGGAAGCACTGCTGACCAACACAGCTTGATCTGCAGTAGGGCAGGGCCACACCTCAGAGCCCCTAATGCCCCAGAGAGGACAGGATGCCCCTGGGGAAGGGCAGGGGTGGAGTTGATGTGCACAAGACCAGCGAATGTAGAGGCTGCTTTCCTTCCTTCACCGTAGTCTCCATCATCTCCTTCCACCTATTGTTCAGGCTGCTGGGAAAATCTTACAGCTCATTCCCACATCCTGTGGACATTTTATGAATGTCCCACGGGTTCAGTTCCAAATCAGATCCTTGAGCTCCAGGTGGGGAAAAGGGCCTGGCATGGCGATGGCAGGAGGGCCTGCCGCTGATGTTTGGGACGTAAGCACAGAGTGGCAAGGATCGCGCCAGGTGATCAGAAGAGGATGCGGCCGTGCAGATGGCAGTTCTCACTACAGACAAGCGGGGACGTATGGTGCCTCCAGCCCGCAGGCCCTCAGCCCACTGGGCAACAGGAGGGGCTGCACATTTGCCCCTGAGCCATGCCCTCCTCCTGCCACATAGGTTTCCCCGCCCTTCCTCCCTGCAGGCTTGGCATCTCCAACCTCACACCTCAGGTTTTCCACTAATGACAAGAATTCGCACAGCCTTCAGATCTCTTAGGAAAATTCCCACCTCTGCGCAGCTCCTAGGAGTAGCCCGAGGTATTTGACGGTTGAGAGGCATAAACGGGAACCCAGAGCTACAGATGAGACACACACCGAGGACTTGCAGGATGTGCCCGGTGCGGTTAACCCACACCGCCCGCCTTTCACTCTGGGTCTTCAGGAGTCGGCGAAGGGGGAGGTGGCCAGGGTCTCACAGTCACTTTTTTATCCCAGGGAGTCCAGGGGCACGCTGGGCAGCCGGGCCCTCTCGCACGACAGTATTTTTATTCCTGAGTTGGGACAAGACCCTGCTCGGCCGGTGCGGGTATTTTCCCAAGAAAATGTGTGCGACCGGATTAAAGCCCTCCAGGTGAGCATTTTCCTTGGCAGTGACCCTTGGTTTGGTTTGGAAGTCAAAATTTTTTTTTTAATATTTTGTTTACTTAGTTGTAGTTGGACACAATACCTTTATTTTATTTTTATGTGGTGCTGAGGATCGGACCCAGGGCCTCACATGTGCTAGGCGAGCGCTCTACTGCTGAGCCACAACCCCAGCCCCTGGAAGTCAAATATTAATCCAGAAGTTTTAAAGTGATTTCTGCTTCATTTGTTTGCTATGTTTTAAAGTAATAGGCACATCACAGAGTCTCCTAAGACTCACCAAGCTGCTTACCCCTTGATCTTGATGCATTCTGGGTTACAGTTTAGATGTACAATGAGAGAGATGACAAGCAGGGTAGCACACACCTGTCATCCCAGTGGCTTGGGAGGCTCAGGAAGGAGGATTGCATGTTCCAGGCCAGCCTCAGTTACTTAGTGAGGCCCTGAGCAACTTAGCAAGACTCTGTTCTCAAAAAAAAAAAAAATAGTTTGAAAAGGGCTGGGGATGTGGCTCAGTGGTTAAGTGCTCCTGGGTTCAATCTCCAATACCAAAAAGCAAATGACAACCAAATACCTCTCTCTTGGGTTCAATTAAGTTAAGTACTCCTGGGTTCAATCTCCAGTACCAAAGAAAACCAACCAAGAGGAATGACCCCAAGAGCTGGTAGCCGATGCTGTTTCAGCTTAGTGACCCCCGCCAGGCAAGAGTGTTGACGATATTTCCCAAATGAATTAATTGCAGTAGGGAGATTTGTTGATAAATGTTATTGATGAAAATACTAAGAGCAAATGTTCTTTATTTCAATCTAGTTAAAAATACAATGTCATGTGAAAATGGGGCCGCCTCCTCCAGGGGGGCTTCCTGCCAAGCGGGCAGAGGATACCGGCATGAGCTCCGAGGACGATGGGCTGCCCCGGAGCCCCCCTGAGATGTCCCTGCTGCACGACGTGGGTCCGGGCATGACCATAAAGGCGAGTGCAACCTGGGCCCTGACCCTCCATCCACACCAGTCATCCAGGGCTGCTGGAGCTCTGGGGGCTCCTGGGGGCAGCCCAGTCACCTGAGCCTGCAGCCGGCCCTTGGGCTGTGTTTATCTTCATTCTTTGAGCAGAAATTCAGGTCTGGTTAGGAGATGTGGTTTGGATGACATATTTTTGTGATGGTGTTCAAACTGATACCTCGTCTTTCCTGTCCGGGCAGACAGTCAGACCCACAATCTCATTTAAAAGAGGGAGCTCCTTTCTGTGTGTTCTCTGCTACTGGGACGTTGAGTGGAAAGAAGGGAACAGTGAACATGTACATTGGTCTAAACGCCTCGTCCTTGTCTTAGGACCATAAGAGCCTGTTGGTCTAGAATGTGTAGACTCTTACTGGTAAACAGGGCAGCAGAGAGAGTTGGACCGCAGGAGAGTTGATGACCCCAGAGGGGCAGAGAGGGGTGAAGGAGCTGATCCTCATACCCTGCTCCCCATAAAATCCGAGGGGAGGGGCCTGAGCAGGTGAGCTCTTTCTCATGCATAAACACCGTAGCTCGTGCTACTGCTGCTTTCTGAAAATGGTATTTCACTGTAGTACGAACGCTTCACACCCACACAGTGCACTCTGACCTGAGTGATAAAGTAGATGGTTGTTTTACCCGGGTAGATAAGGCTTGCTGTGGACGGATGAGTTGGAATTATTCCAGGTGTGTTGATGCTTGAAAAGCAGATAAAGGTCAGAGTTCGAGTATTAGGGTCATGAACCCGCCCTGGGATCTTTGGAATGCTCTCGCCCCTGGCTGGCCTAGGAGCTGTTCATGGTGGGGCTGCAGATTCTGTGTTGCTCTCAATTATGTTCAGCAACTATTTCAGCTTGGATGCCTATGAGTCCACCACAGACCTAATTTTTTTTTTCTTATTTTTTGTTCTTGTGGAGTTGTGGCTTCCATCTCTGATGGGAAGTCAGGACCGTGATGTGACCACTAAGTCACCCCCCGGGTTGGTGCTGTCGTGGAGCTACCTGGAGAATTATTCCCTCCAGATTCCAGCTCAGGGTGAGCATGTCCCAGCTCACTCCCAGAGGTGGGGCCTGTGGTCCAGAGGCTGCCCACACCTCTTCAGCCTCAAGAAGGACTAGAGAATGGCCTGTTTCTGGGCTCTGCCAAGCTGACCCTGCATTTCTTCATACCCTAAAGCACTTCCAGGTACAGTTTCATTGTCACCCTCTCGGGAGCAGACCACGTGGTAGGAGATGGCTTCTTATTCAGCACTGGGTGACTCTCCCTCCTCCCATCCCATGGATCCCTAACTCTCACCCTTCCTACTACTTCTCCTCCTTTAGTGAGGACAGGTAGTAAAGAGGAACAGGTGGCACCTAACCCCATGCATTAGAGAGCCAGCCCAGTTCCAAACCTACTTACACCATGATGTACAATGCCATGGTCAGCCGCGGCGGGGGGCCACTCGTGCTGGACCAGGGCTGACCTTGTTTTTCACAGCATCCCTTCTATGGTAGTTACTGCACACACACACACACACACACACAGTTTCTGAGATTTTTAAAAAATCAATTATTGGATAATATGCACAATCCATAGCTTCATGAAAACCAAAATTTGAGCCTTTAGGATACAAAAGAAAGAAAAGGAAAAGAAAAATGTACTCTTTTCCAGTCATCACGGATCCCAGAAAGTGTTTTGTACACAGTTGGCTGATTGAGAGGAAAAAGATGATGCATTCTTTAGCAATGTGCTTCTGTAACGGGATATTTAACATAATGGCGCCTTAAATCCCAAGAAGACCGGATTTGGGGCTGTTTAATTTTATCCTGTATGACACCTTCCCTAAGCCCATGTGCTTGACAAAGCCACTTGAGATTATTGTTAAAGAAAAAGAAAAAAAATAAAAGACTTTGGCAGCAAATAGGGACATAGCTACGGTGGTATTTCCTGACAGTGAGTTTTTCAGGAAACACGTGGAATTATTTTTGAAATTCATTGCAGCGTGCGTGAACACAATGAATGAAACCTTACCTGGTGGGGTTTTATATGTCTAACTGGTCATGTTCTAGGTTTCCTGGTATTAAGGTTTTATCAAGCTTTGTCACTTCTTGGAATCCATGTCCTCAGAGGGCCTGGGCAGGGTCGAGTGAGATCAGATAGATGGGTGCTCTCCCTTCCCAGCAGGGCCAGCAGCTTCTCTTCACCCATTGGCCTGGCCCCACCAGCCTTGCTCCCTGATTGATGGCCGTTCATGTGGGCACTGTCCTCAGCCTATTCCTCAAAATGAGCCCCAGTTTGAGGACAAACTTTGGAAAACACTTATGACCTAAGGTCACCCCTTAAAAAATCTCCTGAACCTCAATGCATTTCCTTTGTGCCACATTGTGCACGACTTAGACTAAGTCCTCTGCTTCCAGAAGCAAGACTGCAGGGAACATATAGTGATCAGGAGGAGGCAGTGCAGATGACTCTCTGGATGCTGCCAACTCACCCATGAAGACACAAGCCAGCTTCCCTGCCCCGGCCTCCTCCCCAGAGAGTACCCTCCGTACCCCACCCCGTGAAGTTACACCACAGATCAAAGGCAGAACTCATGATCCTCCTAGTCATAATGGGATTGATCTTCCCAGTTCCCGAGAACTCTCAAAATGACAGTGGGGACAAAAATGAGAGTTCTGAGGTCAGAAGAGTCCCCTAATGGCAACATCAGCTGTGACATTGGCGCAAGGTTTACGTGTGGACAGAAGTCAGGGAAGCTAAACTCCATGCCAAGGTCTCCCAGCCAAGAGGTTAAAGTGAGCTGAAGCTAAAACCCAGCAGTACAAGTACAGATTCTCATAGAGGAGGGACAGGGGCTGTTTACCCTTCGGAACCTTTGGGCTGATAGATATGTAGACCAATAAGCAAAAGCTCATGTTTCACACATCTTAGCAGCATAACCCACGTAGACTGCGCTTCGTGAGGGAGTGTGCCATGTTTGATGGTGTCTTAGGGTATTAGGCAGGTGTCTTAGGGTATTGCCCTTGGTCTTCCAGTGAGTGCCAGAACCCCCTTCCTCCCTGGAAACACCTTCTTTCTCTGCTGACCATCAGGTCAATCTATTACAATCCATTAATATACTTTTAACTTACCTGGTGGGGACTTAAAGCCAGATTGCCCCGGGAGGTTGCAGAGCTCTCCAAGAATGAACAAAGGTCCAGGGATAGAATGCTGGGTAGGGCCTTGCCCTTCTGCCTGGACAACCCTGTAGCTTCTGTGCCCTGGCCCCTAAAATCCCAGCTCTCAGCTTCCTTAGACAAAAGCAGATGCCTCTGCCCTTGGAGATCCTGGCTGGACTGGTCCCTCGGGAAGACAGCTGGGGGGTGGGGTGGGGGGGAGAGTGGTCCTGCTCAGGAAGCCTGTTCACAGGCTCTTGCAAGGCCTTGGGAAGGAGTGGAAGGTTTCCAGGGTTTGGCCCAACACTTGGAACTCCCAGCCGTTTCACTTTCTAGAGGAGTATCCTGAATGCTCCCTGTCAAGAGCCAACCTGAACAAGTTTCCCTTCCAGGTAAAAGCCCCAGAGTGTGGGGGCACAATGAAAGGCGAGCCGGTGTGTCTGCGGGCTGTGCCCAGCCCTGTCTTGTCATGAAGCTAATGTTTGGTGTATTGCTCCTTGTCCCATGAAGGTCTCTTTAGTGTCCTCGTCCCGGCCACAGTCTCCAGAGCCCACCAGCGATGCCACCAACTCCTCCCGGACCTCGGAGAGCAGCCTGGCGCCCGTGGCTGATTTCAGCTGCCCCCCAGAACTCTCCTCCTGCCTGGACAACTCTGCAGCCAGGCACAAGCTCCTGGTCAAGCCCCGCAACCAGCGGTCCAGCAAAATGAGGCGGCTGTCTTCGGTAATGGGCTCCTCCTCTGCCCAGGGGCCAGGATGGGTGGGCTGGGTGGCCCCCAGCCCCTACCCCGCCCTCTCCCCCGCTGGCTCACAAGCTCCCTGTGAGCACCACCCTTGTCAACAGGACCACACTGCAGGAACTGGAGTTGGTTGTTCATCTTCTTTAACATCAGTCCATGTCCCTCCCTGTGTCAACCCCCTCCACAGGTTCACTTCCTCATTCCCCAGACCCTGTCACTCACGTGCTGTTTGTGGTGCCACAGCATCTTGGCCCTGGGCTTCTCGTCCCCTCGCTTTCTCACCCCGCATTTGGGTCTCCTTTCTGCTGCTTGAGCTCCTCAAGATGTCCCCAGCCTCAGGTCTTGGTACTGCTGTGTCCCCCTGCCCAAGACGCTCTGTTCCTGGCCAGCTCTGTCTCAGCCTGAGGGGTTTCATCTCAGGATTCCTGTCCCCAGGAGGGTCACCGTGGTCTTTCACTCCTTCAGTGGTTTTGCCACACATAGACAGGACCTTTGAAAATGTGTGTGTCCTCTTTGCAACCCTGTCCCCAGCTGTCCCTCTAGCCCTTAAAGTGGTGCTAGGCACAGGGCTGGCATTTGGTAAGCCTTTGAGAGGACGACGAGTGGGTGACAGGAGCTGAAACCCTGGAGGGGACACCTGAGCACATGAGGATGACGTAGTTGGCAGCATGGGCCTCTTGCCTCACGTAGAACAGATTCCTCGGTGGTGATGCTGCTTGAGAGAATCATCTCCTTGTAGTTCTGGAAGCTCAGCTGACTCATGGGGTACTCTGACCTCCTGGTATCTGCGAGTTAGAGGTCAGCAGGGTGCCACTGTCCTCTCTGCCTGGAGGAGGTGAGGATCAGGGCAGAGGGCCAGCCTGGACACAGAGAATGGCCGTGTTTAGAGAAACACTCACAGACCAACCTCCTCCTCCCTCTCCTTCCTCAGGAATGATGACGGGGAGTTGAGGAAGTGCCTAGGGCAAGCTAGGCGCTTCAGCAGGAGACGGCAGGCTGGGCCCACTGAGGATTTCAGGGTTCCCTGGAGAGAGTGGGGTTTCCCTTGGACGTGTGGGAGGCACTTTGTGAACTCAGGGAAGCAGGGTTGACTGTGCCAGAAGAGTCAAGTGGGTCACCGCAGACTAACTTGTCAGCTGGGGCCAGAGCGCCAGTGCACATGCTGGATGTCCAGGACAGTGACACGGCTGTGCGCCGTGGGGACTTGATGGGTCCAGGAACTTCGGACCTGCCCATGTTCTTTCAGGGTGGAGTCGTGGGGCCAGGCGCAGGGCCAGCTCCCTTCTGGGCTCGGTTCTAGGCTTCTTTCCCATGCAGAGGTCTTTTCCTCTGGTGAGGGCACATGTGGCTGGCCACAGCCCTGCCAAGACTTGGTGACAGAGGGAAGCCTGGCCTACTCTCCATATGGAATGCGCCATCCCCTGGCACTGCCCCCTAGGCAGAGCTGAACTTTTACTTTTGAACTTGACTTTGTTCTTGAATTTTACTTTGTAGAATAGCAGAAAGTCGGATGTACTCAGTTGGGGGAGATGTGTAACCAGTCTTCCTGGATTTACCCTCTGATGTTTCGGAATCTCCCAGCTGCCTTCCCCCTTCACTGCTGGGTAGGGAGCAGGCTGGCTATCTCAGGTTCTCAGAGGTGCCCACATTTTCCCAGTGGTCACCACTGTCCCTCCATTCACGGTTGGGTGCCACATTGGAGGCCTTGTCCATCAGTATCCACAGCCCTCTTTGCCCTTTGGTCCTCTGCTCCCTCTTCCCAACCAGGAGGACCTTCCTCATGCCTCGGCCCCATGTAGGGATCAAGATGCTTCCAGCTGCTTCCTTACTGCTTCAGCCATGGGAATGAGCTGCACATGGCCCCTCTGCTACCTTTCTGTCCCTGGGCACTTCTGTAGAGGCTCACTGTCCCTTTGGCTTTACGGGCAATGAGGTCCTACTTTCCCCTGCTGTTTTGATCCCCCATATCATCCAGGGTCTTTTGCTCCCGTGAGCTCAGCCATCCTCAGTGTCTCCACTGTGGCCTCTTCCTGTTCCTGCTGCTGTCCTGGCCTGGCCTAGCCTTCTCCAGCTGTGTTTCCAGGGGCTGACATCATTTCATATCATCGAGGCTCCTGAATCTTTTGGAGCTTTAGGATAAATGAAAAGGGCTCTTATTTTACAAACCCCATCATGTATAATAAAAACCCAGCTATAAAGACTGTGATATTTACCATGAATTTGAAATACATATTCAAGCACATTTGGCTGACCCCGTTTGCCCCCCACCCCAGCAGAGGTTGGGAAAGACAAACACGAGTGGTTCCCTCAGCATTCTATTCTGCCACAGACCACGCTCTGTGTGTGGTTCCACAGGCAGAAGAGCTGAGTGCCCATGGACGTTCACACCCACATCCCACTGTTACCAGTGGGTCCTCAGCCAACCCAGTCAGTGCCAAGAGCTGAGAACCTTGTGAACTCCATTTTGATAGGAGCAGTGTGGTTGGATGACTAGCTGCACGTTTCCTGGCTGGCAGAGACACCAAACATAGGACCCAGGTCTTAGAGACTGATGCCTGTTGTCTGCCCCGGGTGCTACAGAGATGATGTGGACACTGCTCTAAGGGGATTCCTTTTTGGCCAGATGAGCTTCTAGCCACCATAGCACCTTGCTGCACGCCAAGCAATTGGTCCCCCATTTCTGCTTGCTTGGGATGTTTCCAGGAGAAAAGCCACTGTAAGGACCCAAGAGGGAGGTGATGAGGAGGTTGCAGAGATGGAGTGGGCGATGGAGTGGCCCCAGGCAGTGCTCCCCTGGGGCTCTCCTCAGCATCCAAGCCTACCTCTGGAGTCCACGCTCCACACCAGCCTTCATCCTGCCCTATTCTTCCACAGTGGCCCCCTCGTAGCTGCCAGTGGCTCAGATCTACTCCCCAGCTTTCTGCTAACAGCCTGGCTTCTGTGATAGTTTCCAATCATGGCTCACTTCCCAAAGCGATCTCAACAACAGTAGTTTCCTGTAGCCAAAGGCTAGGGACATGGCAAAGTTAGGAACTTGCAGCTCTGGATGATCTTCTGTAGGTTTCTTTCTTTCATTGTAGATGGACACAATACTTTTATTTATTTTTATGTTGTGCTGAGGATTGAACCCAGTGCCTCACACATGATAGGTAAGCATTCCACCACTGAGCCACAACCCCAGCCCATAATCTTCCCTAGGTTTCTTTGTGCATCATCTTTTTAAACCCAGAATAGGATTGTGTGTTTTGGATATGCATGGTCATAAACAGCCCAATCTTCCTGTGTTTGCTTAGCAAGTGGATGCCAGCTGGGAAATGCTTAAAACTAACACAGGTTGGGGTGTAGCTCAGTGGCAGACCACTTGCCTAGCATGAGCAAGGCCCGGGGTTCAGTCCCTAGCACCACAAAAAATAAAATAAAAAATCTAAAAAAAAAACAACAAATAATAATAAAACTACAAACATACCCTAGAGTGTCACATTTCAGGACAAGAGCAATGTTTATGCAACCGCCTGAGTGACACTTGAGGTCTGATGTCCTGAGCTTTTTAGAAAGACCAACCTCAGTACCCTCAACCTTTGAGACATTTTTACATATTGCTTTTGAGTGGTTTGTGATTATCTTAATTACATTCTTTTTTCCTGAGACAGGAGGCATGAACTTTTTGACAATCAGGAGGAAGTTAGACTAGAGTCTAGATTCTAGAGACCTTTTAGAACTAAAAAATGCCACAAGGGAGTGTAAGGTTGTCAAGCCAGTAGTGCTTCAGGTGGCCAAAAAGGAGACTCATAAACTATAGGATTACCTAGAGGAGACAGATTTGCGATAGTTCTTGAGGATGCTGGTCGAGCATCTGGGAGGCACAGAGTGGGGGGCAGTCACTTAGCCCCACCTTGGGCACAGTGAGGGGACCTTGGTTAACCTTGAGTAGAGAGTAGGAGACACAGTGTAAGACCACAGAATAAGATTTTAAATTTATCTGAAATTTTTGGATTTTGTTCTATGAGCTGTGGTTAACTGTGGCCCTGTTCGACATGATATGAATCATCTTTGAGGAAACCTTTAAGGGTACATCCCTGAGGAGAGCTGACATGGGGGGCTGACTTGGAGGAGCACAGGGACATAGAAAGAGCAGTAGCTGTCCACCTGGTAGTTACCTGGTAGGTTAGACTAGACCAAGATTTTGACACTCTGAGCTCCTGGTTCTCCAAGTGCAAAAGGGAATGATGGCCCCTTCCTCACTGGGATGAACTGATGACTACATGAAGTCACAAGTGCATAGCACAGTGTGACACACTGTGTCTCTCTACCTTGCCCTAGACAGTGGCATCTGCTGGGTTTTGGGCTCAGCCATAAGCATCTATTTATTTTGAGGGTGTAATTGCCATTGTTCTGTGGGAGGGTCCAGATAGAATAATAAGGAGAGATTAAGAAAAGACAGCTGTGTATGAATTTCAGCTCTGGAGATATACTGCTTTCTCAAAACCATTTTAGGCCTTAAAGAAAACAGTGAAGTCCTGGACTTCCAAATATCTGCTGCAGTGATGGTGTCTTCTCTCCTTTATCTCCTAGCGGGCCCAGTCTGAATCCCTGTGCGATCTAATAGGCACCCCAGAAGAGGAAGAATATGATGAGAAGCTTTGGCCTCAAGTCAGCACAGAAGAGAACCCCAGCTCTGGACAATATGATCTGATGCTGCGTAGAGACCCTGAGCCTCGGGGACTGGTCACCTTGCTGCCACCTGGGGGACCCCGTGCCAGACGTGCCCGTCTACAGCACTGCCCAGCGCTCAGTGCTAGCGTTGAGGATGGGCTGTCCCCTGGGGATGGTGTCTCAAACTCCCTAGTGATCCCGGAAGTCATTGAGCCTGTGGCAGTCTCAGCCCCATGCTTGGAGTCCCCATCTCTGCCAGAAAGCTCCCTGCATCCTAGTTCTGACCATGAAATCCAGCGCAGTGAAATCCAGAAGAGGGGCAAAATCCAGGACAGTGAAATCCAGAAGATGGGGAAAATCCAGGACAGTGAAATCCAGAAGGACAGTGAGATCCAGAAGAGTGGTGAAATCCAGAAAGATAGTGAAATCCAGAAGGGGGGCGAAATCCAGAAGATGGGGGAAGTCCAGAAGGACAGTGAAATCCAGAAGGACAGTGAGATCCAGAAGAGGGGTGACATCCAGAAGGACAGTGAAATCCAGAAGAGGGGTGACATCCAGGAGGACAGTGAAATCCAGAAGAGGGGTGACATCCAGGAGGACAGTGAAATCCAGAAGGGGGGTGACATCCAGGAGGACAGTGAAATCCAGAAGAGGGGTGACATCCAAGAGGACAGTGAAATCCAGAAGAGGGGTGAAATTCAGAAGGACAGTGAAATACAGTTCAGGGACGAAATCCAGGAGGACAGCGAAATCCAGAAAAGGG